TTCATTCTGATAGCAAGGAATTCTTTGGCACAGAGAACCATGGCACATGTATAGATAAAAATGATCCTATAGTTACTGAGTTCTCCTCAACCAAAATTCATGACTTACGAAGCAATATACATTCTGATAAGGATTCACCAGACTGTACATTGAAGGCCGGAATGGGACTTTATATTCCTGATGCCAGTCCCAACTTTAGTTCGCACCTTAACCCAATTGAAACCGCCACAACAATTGAGAGTTCCTCTGAAAGTTTTGATCCGTACAACCTTGCAGCGGTAGACTCTCCTTGCTGGAAAGGAGCTCGAATTTGTCGTACATCTCCATTTCAAGCTTTTGAAATTGTCACTCCAACTCGTATGAAGACTGAAGAAGTTTGCAACAGTGTGAATCTCTCATTGTCTCAAGTACCCCCTTCTACTGCCAAGGATACTGTTCATGAACCAAATGAAAGCACCATAGGCGGCATTCTGGAGAAGGGTGCAACATCTTCTCCAAAGATGCCTTCAGTTGCTGGTCCCTCCTTGCCTGCAGCACAGAAAACTAGCACTTCTGTGAAAGCAGGAGAATTTTGTTCTAAAATGGGCTGCTTCCATCCAGCTACCGGTAGCATCCATGACCCTGTAGAAGATAGTGGTGTCTCCTATTCTTCCTGTTCCATACCACTAAGTAAATATAAGCATAATTTAATGACTGGAAAAAGGATTGCAACTACAAGTTACATGAAGATGCATGCGGATGCAAGATTAAATAGTGACAACTCTTCTGAAAATGGTATGAATCATTTGTCATATGATGCTGCAAAACATATCCAGAATTTTCCTTCTGAGCTTGTGAAGGCATTTCCCAAAGAATCACTCTCAAAAATGGATATCCAGATTCTGGTTGATAAATTGCACGGTCTATCAGAAATGCTCCTTGCATATTGTTCAAATGGTTCAGCTGCATTACACCGGAAAGACGTCAAGTCTCTCAAGACTGTGATGAATAACCTTGATGTTTGTATAAATAGCTTTGGATCACAAGATTCTCTCTCACCTGAGCAACGAACTTCACAAAATCTTGAGACGTTTCATCAACTTCATTCGGTATGTTATGTCTACTGTCTAGTTTCTTCTTCGTTAAGTTCAGAAAGTGATATTTTGAAAACCCCTGATGAAAGTTTAAGTACCATACGATCATTGTACACACGCACACATTGATGAAGATTTTCTCTGGAGCAAATTTTCCCTTTTTCTGTTGAAGAAAAATGAAGATATTTTGCAGAACACTTGTACAATTTAACATCAGCGTATATGTTATAGTTATTATTTTTCTATGAGAAACCAATCTTTCACTGAGAAAAATGAATGAATATTTTAAGGGTAGGCATAGAAATAGACCCATAAAAGTGGACGTCGAAAACTAAATATGAAACAGACTTCAATCCAGGGATCTACCCTCCCCCCCTTGTTTCATCTCTTATTTATTCAGAGAGCTACTCTGTTTGAGTTTGTATGTCACATTTGACAATGCTTAAAATTTTTCTCTGCATTGTGTGGGAATCAAATTATAATTGCTGTGATTGTGTTATGTACTTGTTCATCAGGATTTCCAGGATGTGAGAGTGCTCAAGTCCCAATCCCAGATGACAAAGATGGAAGGAAAATATTTGGAGTGTTTATCAAATGATGGCAATGGTGTTGAGGAAACGAATCAATACATATTGTCTATCAAGAAAGACAAAGAAGCTGCGGACTCTCTTTATCTTAGGAATGGGATTGACTCGATGAAAGAAGACAGCATGACCAAGGTATCTATTAAGGATAGGAAGTGATATTTTTTCATCTGTTGTGTGGAAGGCATGCTAAGGTATATTGTGTATTGGCTATATATAAAGGATGATATCAGCTTATATCGTTATCATATTTTTAGGCTCTTAAGAAGGTTCTGAGAGAGAATTTTCATGATGACAAAGAACATCCTCAATCTCTTTTGTACAAGAATCTATGGCTTGAAGCAGAAGCTGCATTATGTGCTTCCAAATTAATAGCTCGATTTAGTATAGCAAAGTCGGAAATGGAGAAACATGAACTACCAATAGTGAGAGGTAAGTTTTGATGTTAGAACTTTCCCCCCATATTGTATTCACTTCGGCATGTAGTGTCAATGGTCTGTTCTCCTTACTCAGATATATTTATTTATGGGATAATTTTTATGGCTTAGAACATGCCGAAAATTGGGACGAACTACTCGTTTCTGGTGTATCTCCTGGTTCAAGCACCGTTGGGAAATTGGCACCTAAGACTAAAGTTGGTTCAACTTCATTTGTTCCCGTCCAGACTTCCCCTGCCGTGAGTGTCAGTAGTCATGCTGCAGATGATGTGATTACTAGATTCCATATTCTCAAATGCCGAGAGGATGAAGCAAAGGATAGGCATGCTGGATATTCCGGACAAGACATGGTTGAAAAATCAGCACTCGACAAGGAACAAACGGCAGTCCCTTATATCAATGACATGGATTCTTCCTTCCCCACCTCGAAGGTCAATGGGGATGACTCTAGGCCTGCTCTTCCATCAATTTCCCCTACCTTGACAAGGAACAGCCATACAGAAGATGTCATGTCTAGATTTCAAATTCTAAAATCTCGAGATGAGCGCATAAGTTCTTTGAATGTGGGAAAGGTGCAGAAAATTAGAAGCTCCTGTTGCAGTGAGATCGACATGTTGGCACCTAAAGGTAATACTGTGCATAGCCTGGGTATCTCAACTATACATCATCGCTTTGCAGATAATAAAACCGAAGTTGATGATTTAGATGCTTCAGCACCGGGCAGACTAGATGCCCCGAGGAGTCGTGGAAACCACATAAGCTTGACCTTGACCCCTGCGAGAGAACAGTTACAGGAGAGAGTAACTGTAAAAAAAGGGGGTTTGGGAGTTGAAACGGAACCTTTCTTGCGGTTTGAAGGTGGGAAGGAAGGTAGAAACTATGGTGAAGGCAAGCTTCCTGCTGGTTGTTCTGATGGGTCCTCATCTGAATGGGAACATGTTCTCTGGTGAATAGACTTGTTGTAATCAACTCTCTGTCGATGCTATCATACGTTTGATTTTTGTCGAATGAAGTTCAGATGGAACTGTTTAACCGAGATTCTCGGAGATTGTCAACCACAGTTGATCATAATAGATATATTTTTGTAATTACCTGGAGCAACTACCCGCTATCACTACGTTATATCTTTTTAGAAATTGGGGTTTCATTCTGATCTTACTAGAGGGATGATTCTGATCTTACTAGAGGGATGATTCCACAAAGACAACATTGGGAGCTGGAATTGAGATCATTATGGAATGAAAGGTTGGATCAATTAGCATGGAAATCATGTGCCAGTTTGTAGATTACAAAGTTGAAATAGTGCATTGGAAAACTGATCCAGGAATAAATATAGGAAATTTATACATTTGGTGTCATAGAAGTTGTGAAGGGGATCAGTGATAATGATAAAAATAAGTTAGAAAAAACCCTCCTCGAAATGAGGGATTGGTGGTGCGACAAAATATTGTTGATGAAAATGTAGAAGAAGAAACGCTAAAGCTACAGAAGCGGAGGAGGCGTGTGGTTGTTGTCTGAGTTGGATCGCCTTTCCCGTTTCGAAAATTGATCGGCATGACAGTGTGACGTCCAGTGGTCGCATGGAGCTATGGCATCGCAGACGTAACAATAGCACTGCACAGAATCATGCAGCTACCTTATCAATTTCAAATCTACAAAAGCGACCATTCCAATTCCAGTTTAACAGAAGGAATGGAAATTACCATCTCACAGTAAGTCTGATGGGGCGTCGTGGGGAAGGGAAATTTGAGACACAAATACCTGGCGTGCGGATAGTCTCTACAGGCCACCTGCCATCACAGTCCAAATAAAGGATAGGATATGTGTTATGAGAGCAATGGTGGTGATCGGACATGGGAGGAGGGGTTTTGGTGGGCTTACCTGACCCTTTTCAGCCACCAGCGAGACGTCAGAATCAGAGTCAGAGTCAGAGTGAGAGAGCGTTTGATTGAGGGAATGGAATGGGTCGAAGTCCAAGAGGTAACACTCCTCCATTGCGTCGAATCGCTTCAAATCCAATTTGTTTATGTTTTTGACGCACAGCATGGGTCGGAGGGGCTCATCGTCTTCTTCTTTTTGCATTCTCTTGCTCTTTGAATTCAAACGTCTTCGCTTCTTCGCTCCCTTCATCTTTCTCCTTCCATCTCAACCTGGTCGTATTACATTTGTAGGCAGGTCGTGTGGGTCAATTTTAAATTTAAATTCTGGCCGATCCTGTCTGGACTGTGGCGCCTGTTCCATCCAAAGCGTTAGCCCAAATTTCCATATGGGCCTCTTAACTTAACAAAGCCTTACCCCAAATCCCATATACCAATCCAACCCCACACCCAACCACGGATGGAAAGAGTAAGCTATGTAAAATAAGACACAAAGGCCGGCGTCACTAGCGATGGGGCCCTAGCATTTTCGCATCTTTTTGGTGCTCTTTTATTCCAGACCTTCTCTTTATTCCAGACCTTCTCTTCATTCCAACGCTCAATTCCCTCCAACCATACATCCCCTCATCCTAAACTTCCTATATAGGGGTGTCTTCTGAAATAAATACCTATAATTCTTCAACCACATTATCTTATCCCCACCCCTTAATAAAATTAATTCCAGTTTCACACATTACTTCTGCTCACTGCGTTTTGTTTCTTGGTTTTACAGGTGAATATTCAATTTGCTTTACTTCTTTCCCAATCAACATTAGTAACAAATGATATCCCAAGATTCCAAGTGTGGCTTCAAAGTGAGCAAGAATTCGGTAAGTCGTTACATCAAAATCTTGAACGCTAATGAGAAATTAGCTAAATAATGGAACACTTGCTATTGCAAATTGAATACTTGTCCAACTTCTAAAGACTCACTCAAATTCTCTTATTCTAACATATAATATAAAATATAAAGGAACCAAAAGCACAATAAAACAGGGGATTTCTAGTTGCCATGTAAACTCGAAATATTCTAAGATACATAAATATAATGCTTTATTTCTTCCCCCACTTGCTCTCTATCTTTTATGATATTTTAACTACGCCTCTAAACTTTTAATTTTGATTTTGCAAACAACCCATTAGCACCCTATTTATTCAAATATTAATATTAATGTGACAAGCTAATTAGATCGATAAGGATGATTTGACACGCATAAGGCCACAAAAAAGTTTAAATTTCTTCAAAATCCATTATTCTTAGTCTCACAAAAAAGCTCGGGCACACCCGCCTTTGTTTTAAAAATTGGCTCTACCTTACTATTTTTTCTTATTCTTCTTATTATTATTATGTGAGAGGGTGTCAAATCATCCTTTGTTGATCAAATTAGTGTAACATGTGGAAGCAAGGGTGGTAAGGGTTTATTAAAATCAAAATAAAAAATTTAGGGACGTAATTAAAATTTGTAAAAAAACCAGAGAGAGGAAGTCGTTAAGGAGGGGAGTGGTTTTTAAAGAGTTCCAAGCAATGTCGTTCATCCAAGTTTCTGCTCCAAAACTTACTGTAGTACTCTGCGTAGGTGAAGCCTCGGTAAATGGCGGGAGGCCCATGTCGGGTGAGGGGCGGTGCAGGGCTAATGAGGGCGTCGTCGCATGGGCAGAGGAAAGAAGCAACGGACAGCCTGGGCTTGTCCACATTCACAACCGCACGGTGCCAGACGCTCTTGTAAACCCCATTGCTCAATGCCTGTGGCAACCAAAAGCAACACCACCACCATTTATGAACTTCGAAGTTAAAACCATAAAAAGTTTACGAAAGGTGGAGGGTGAGAGATTATGGACGCACCTGCAACTGGTCGCCAATGTTGACGACAAAGGCATCGGGCTCGGGGCTGACAGCGAGCCACTTACCGTCTTTGAGGACTTGGAGGCCTGCGACGTGCTGGTCTTGAAGGAGGATCGTGAGAGCGTTGGGATCGGTATGGGCAGGGAGTCCGTAGGTGAGCTCTGGCTGGGGACAGGGCGGGTAATAATTGACAGCCATGTGCTGCCCCTGTTCCCCCAGCACCTCCCTAATGTAGTCCTTGTGAAGGCCCAAGCTCTCCGATATGAGCTCCTGAATTGTATACCCAAGTTCCCGTACTTGCACGCAATACTCACTCACAACTTCCCTGTCAGGTTCAACATTCCAGGTCCATACTTTATTTAGTTTTGGTCCATACTATTTAATGTATCAATAAAAAGTGTATAGCTACAAACAAATCAGAAGCACAGTGAATTGTATTTTTAGGCACCCACCATTAATACTGAAACCCCAAATCTCCGCCCATCCATTTCTTTATGTTAGGTGTTTTAATTGAATGGAACATTAAAATATTGGGTGAATTATTGAGATCTCTGATTGATATTTTTAAAAAATAAATAAATAAATAAAAGATTGAGATTCATATTCTAGTGAAATGGGGTAGAGTGAAAGGTACGGAGCATTAAAATATAGTTGACATAACATTCGAGAATCATCAATATGTTGAGGGAGGCAAGAAAAGATTATTTAAAATAGAAAGGCGTGTTGCGTGTTGCGTGTTGCGTGTTGCGTTGTTGCGTTGTTGGGCGTTGGATAAGAGGGGTGGTGACGTCAACGCGGTTGGGAGGATGACGTGAAGGATGAGGTGTTAAAATAAGACAAAAACATGTTTGGTTTAGAGAGAGGAGAAAACCCAGAGGGGTGCCCCACCGCCGTCCATTTTCCATACACCACCGGCACCCAGGTTCACGTTCGGTTTAGAGATCACAAATTCTGAACATGGGTGCACATGGAAGGAACCACACTACTACTACTACTACTAAAACACCTTCTACTTTCATCTAAGTGGACCCCACTTCCTCTCTCCCCTTTCTTCCTCATCACAATTTCTCTTTGCCTTTTCCATTTTCAACCCCCATCCAAATATCTAAGATTTTTCTTTTCTTTTCTTTTCTTTTTAATTTCCTTCCATTTTCACTTATAATTTTGTTTTTTTTTTATTTTTATAAATAAAACCAAAAGAACCAATGAGTGATATCCACGTCAGATGAAACCATTAATTCCTCTTAAAATCAAATTCCCATTTCACTGTTTTTCATGGAAACAAATTATTATTATTAATTTTCAAATTAAAAAGAAAAAAGAAAAAAAAACAAAAACAAAAAACGGCCTCCTATATACCTATGCTACTCGGCTCCGTTCATTTATTTCATTCTTTGCAATGTCTTTCCCATAGAGCAATACATATTCTCACCGAATATCCATTTACTTTTCCTTTCTTTCTTTTTTTTTTTTTATAAAAAAGAAAAAGAAAAAGATAAAGATAAAGGGAAAAGGAAAAAGGAAAATCCTTGATTCCATCTTTTAAATACCATCGGTAGTTTTTTCCGTTATAAATCTATTCCGCACGAAATTTATTTGAATAAAAATATAACGACGTCAGACAGACATATGATATGTTTGTATTATTTCAATAAAAAAAAACATGACATGTTGAGACAGACTTGGCTAAGAATAAAGGATTCAGCACAACTTAAAATAAAACAAGCGGATTTATATTTAAAAGTAAAAAAGAAAAAAAAATTAGAAATTGAGAATATTTTAGTGATAAAAGAATTTATAAAGGTGGAAATTAGAGAGCAATGGGAAGAAAAGGATATGAAAGAAGTAAAGGGAGAGAGGGAGGAACCTGAAGAGAGGAGGGTTAGTGGGCCAATGGGGCAGGTATTTGGAGAGAGGATAGCAATGGAGTCTGAGATAATCCCTCCAGTTGTGAAATTCCTCCTTCCGGACGTTGAAACTTGTGGACAGCCTGACCGTCTTGGAAGGGTCGTCGGAGTAAAGTTTGAGCTTCTCCTCCAGCGGCAGCCCAAAGAAGGCATTCCCAACCCCTATCGTTCTCTCCACCAATTCCTTACTCACTCCATGGTTCCTCACCTGCGTTTCAACTTCAAATTTTAGTCGTTCAATTTCAACTACGAACTCTAAACCCCCATTGAAACAAATATACCTGGAAAAACCCGTAACACTTGCAGGCCTCCCCCACTTGTTCCACCATCCAGCCTCTGTCCTCGCATCCCAAGTCGATGATTGGGACGTTCTCCAAACAGCACACTTCCGACAACCTCGGCCTGTCCGACTCCGGCCTTTCATACTTTTCCGGCAATCTCTCGTGGCGCGTCCCCGAAGACAAAAGTTGGGTCTCCATTTTCTTGTTGAGGATATCACACCTTAACAGCCCACAAAATCCCTATTTTAGAGAGGGAGTTGAGGAAACCCCATGACCTGCCCACTCTCTATCACATGCCCCACCATGTTTGCCACCCTTCTCCAATTCCGCGCTTTATACATTAATAACTTACATAATTTGTTTCTACACTCAAATACAAAAATCATGAAAAGTAAAATATAAAACAATTAATTTAACTTAATCGCTAAAAAGAAAAAAAGAAAGTTTTAAAAGACGGTCCAATTAATTCACCCGATTGTCTTTGACATTAAAGAGCAATTTGATTATTTTGATGAATGAGTCAAAATATGTGGCTGTGTCCAAACTTTCCATTAATATTCAATTAGCATCTCTATGCCAACTTCGAAGATAGCTACACACAAATTCAACCAACTATCCTTCTTGTTATTATTTATTTTATTACATTATTGTATTTTTAAAAATGTGAAAACTTGCTTATTAATACATTATTTATTTGAAGAGAGTGAAAAGTGCTGTCGCAATATCTACCACTCAAAAGTATGCATAGATATGAAAATATTATTACTCAACGAAAGAATACAGATTTAAGAATGAGAAAAAGAATTGGGATCGAATGTTCTATCTTCATTGATATTCACGACCTTTAAATAGGATACAAGATACTAAATAATATCTACCAAGAAAATATAAACTAACTAAATCCTGATAATAAAATAAAATATACTACTATTCAAATTCAACTGATTACGATATCTAAGATATATTTCCTAACTAATATATTCTAGAAGATTACGAATATCATATATTCCATAACTAATTCAAACTAAAATAAGTTGCACTAAATCGTGACAAGTGCTTCTTCATATTAATTAAATACACGCATTCATCACTATATTGAAACCTTAAAAATGCTTTCAACTTTTAAAAAGTGATGTTGAGGGGGAAAAGGTTAATTTCATTATTGAAGGGAGGCCTTTTTAAAAAGCCAACCTTTTAAAGGATTATTGATATTGATAAAATATGTATATATATATATATATGATAAGATTCAAATTCATATTTATTTATTTATTATTGTTCTGTTTTAAGAATACCGCGCCAGACGAAATATTGAGAATTCAAATTTACGAAATCTACTTTTGTTTTCATTTAGAAATAAAATTTTAAAAATTGAATAATTATACTAATTGACGTGGCCTAAACTAGTCCTCATCTACGTGATTGAATAATTATACTCCTTTAGTTTTTAGTGGATTGAGTTAAGTCCCAAATTTTTTTGTCACATTCACGATGACACTTAAATTTTGAAAAAAGACAAATTTAAGGGATAGGATAAAATTTGATCCATACTTTAATTTATCTCTACAACTATATAATATCATATACTCAAAACATGCATAATCTTTCATGACTTGGATCGCGTAACTCATTTATCCGTGTATTTTTAATAAACTCAATAAATTTGAAGATAAGAATTTAAACCTTTAATTTTTCTAACCAATAATTATGTCCACATTGACATATCAATATCTTATTGTGTTACATATTCACTAAGTATTTGAAACGTGTAAATTGGACAATAGGATGAAACGAAGACTTGAATGGGAGACTTTTAATGGAGAAAAAGAAAAAAAAAAAAAAAGGGAAAAAGGAGAAAGACTTTGAGTTGACATATCTCTAGGGTATTTGAAAAGTCATTTTTGAGGTATCCAAACCATACGCTGATGTTCCCTTATCAAACACAAGGAACCCACACACAACGAATACGCGTGGAAAAAAATGCAGCTTCCCCACTAATCTCGTCACCATTTATGTCTCAATTTTACTACGTTGATGTGAAAATAATATATGAATTTATATTTTAATAATTATTAGGAGCCACGGGTTGTTTAAATAATTTGTTGACCATTTCAACACACTCCACGGATTTTTGAGGTTTGAAAGGTTATGAGGGAGAGGGCATTTGTGTCTATATGCGCATATTTTTCGGTATAGAACTGTAAGATTTAGGGAGCTGGAAGAATTAAATAATATGAATGAGGATGACGTCATTCAAGTGACGTGGGTGTATGACACTTTGTCGTCATTTGGTACTAAATGTTAAATTAATTGAACCCTTCCAACCTCAAGAAGTCACCCGTAGAAGTCGTTTCCAAATTGAGTTCAATAACCTTCTTTTTCTTTTATTTATTTATTTATTATTATTATTTTTTTTTTTTTGTTTTGATAAGAAAGAATATAGCTTCATTTTGTTTTATCATGGTTTTCAGAAGGAAGAAAAAAGAAAAAGAATGCATGAAAAATGAGGCAGTAGCAGCAAGGGGCTGAAGAGCAGCATCTCTATAATTTGGGATATTACACCCTCTCTCTCTCTCTCTCTCTCTCTCTCTCTCTCTCCCTGCTGGGGGCATGCGGCTTCAAATCATCATCGCCTTTTGTTTTGCCCATAGTTTTCAGTATTTGTTGACAAAAAAGAAAAGAAAAAAGATAAAAAAATTGAATTCCCACTTGTGTTCCTGCACTGTAAATGAGTCGGTATTCCCAACCAAGCCGCCAATCTGCAGTTGCTGGAGAACCCACTTTTGGGCAAGGCCCATGGACCTGCAGCAGTTGGGCTGAGGCGGACCGGAATGTTTCTTGAATTTGAGGCTTAGCCCATTGTGTAGCAGATGAGATGAGATGATAGATAGCGCGTGGACCCTGGAAGTTGGAAGGAATCAACACCAACACCCACCCAAGCGATCCATACGCAATGCTTGACCGGTTTCTTGAGCAGCAGCCCAAATATGACTTTTCTCTCTTCTTTTAACCCAACCACTCCTTGCCTTTCTGTCTGCGTCCTTCTCCTCCTCCTCCTCCTCCTCCTCCTCTGAACTCAATCATGGAAAACGCCGCCCCAAGATCCGAATTCATGGCCACCTACGATTCCCCGCACCCTCTCTATGCCATGGCCATCTCTTCCGCCCACACCCACTCTCGCACTTTCCCCAATCGCATAGCCCTTGGTAGCTTCATCGAACAGTGCACCAACCGTGTCGACATTGTGTCTTTTGATCCAGATTCCCTCTCCATTCAAACGCATCCTTCTCTCTCCTTCGACCACCCCTACCCACCCACCAAGCTCATGTTCAATCCCGATGCCCTCTCCTCTCTCCGCAACTCCTCCGACATCTTGGCCTCCTCCGGCGACTATCTCCGCCTCTGGCAAGTTGGAGATTCTTCTATCGAACCCCTCTCTGTCCTCAACAACAGCAAAACCAGTGAATTCTGCGCCCCCTTAACTTCCTTCGACTGGAATGAAGTCGAGCCCAAGAGAATTGGAACCTCCAGCATTGATACCACTTGCACTATTTGGGATATTGAGAAGAGCGTGGTTGAAACCCAGTTCATAGCTCACGACAAAGAGGTTTATGACATTGCGTGGGGGGAAGCCCGAGTTTTTGCCTCCGTTTCCGCTGATGGGTCGGTCAGGATTTTCGACTTGAGAGATAAAGAGCACTCCACCATTATATACGAAAGCCCCCAACCCGATACCCCTTTGCTTAGACTGGCTTGGAACAAGCAGGACCTGCGGTACATGGCCACAATTTTGATGGACAGCAACAAAGTTGTTATTTTGGACATTCGCTCGCCAAGTGTGCCGGTTGCTGAGCTGGAGAGGCATCATTCCAGTGTCAATGCCATTGCCTGGGCTCCACGGAGCTGCAGACATATTTGCTCCGCTGGGGATGACAAACAGGCGCTTATTTGGGAGTTGCCAATGGTTGCAGGCCCGAATGGCATTGATCCAATGTCCATGTATTCTGCTGCACATGAAATTAACCAGTTGCAGTGGTCCGCCGCCCAGCCTGATTGGATTGCTCTGGCGTTTTCTAACAAGATGCAGCTTTTGAAAGTTTGAGGTCTGAGAACGTTTTCCACTGTGTACCTATTGTGTATCTACTACTGCTATATATATTCTTCCCTTCGTTTTCCCCTGTTCTATAAGCCACATATATTGCTATAGGCGTAGTTTTAGTTTCAGTGCTAAGATGTTATTGCTACTCGGATGGTATAAATGTTGATGCTTCATCTTGCCAACAGACAGCGCAATTTAAGTTACCTCGCTTGAATTCCTTATATTTAATCAAACCTAAGCTACCCACTTTCTTATCCCTTCAAAGTTTGATTTGTTTATTTTATTTGCATTACATTAGGCAATAGGAGGAGGCTTTGTTGTTTTGAGTTCTAATGCTATGTATCCCTCAACTCTGTTGGAAACCAAGGAAGGACAGCTACCCTTCACACACTGCTGATCCTTGCTTCCAACATATACGCCAGTTTGGATCAAGGGTTGTTGACAATGGGAGAATCTACTTGTTCTCTTGCAATGTTGATTTGAATTTCCGATGGTTCGTTCTACTAAGTTGACAAGTGGAAGTGTGTCATTTGCCTAGGTTCTGGGTTCTTGGGCTTGCCAAATGCATGTCATGACTTTTATTGAGTGTTAAGAAGATGAAGACAGAAGGCACTTCTAGTTTATAATCTCAGCTTATGAGGTGAGATATGATTGGATTGGATTGGCTAGAGTTGATACATAACCCAAGTTGCAATAATAATGTAGTTAGTCATTCAGATTCTGAAGATTCAATGGCAGCCACAGCTTTTACAAAAAATCGTTCATGATGTGGGGCTGAAATTCACAACAAAAATATGTTTTTTTCTTTTAATGTTCATGATGCGGACTTGGGATCATTTATTTTAATTGAGAACCCTTCATCATGAACAAAAGTTGTGGAGTCCAACAGAGAACCCTTCATCTCTGCTTGCATCCATCTTTAACGCAGTCGCTTGATGCACCAATACGTCTTTATGAGCTCGAGCTCATCTGATATGGGTAAAAGTTGGTACTGAATATCTATCCAGACTGTCCTGTTGCATGGCAGAGTGAGAGTACACGGATACAAAGACCCACTGCGAATTTTATGAAAGAAAATGGGACACCTAATGGAGTAATATCCAAGTGGTCCATCAGCTGAGATGGAGACCTTCAAATTATCCAAATGTTGCATTGGGAGACAGTTTCCTTAGGATTTCGGATAACGCACACAACCCACCAGATCCCATTTTGTGAAGCCTGCTCCTCTAACCTACAAAATT